GAGGTGAGGTCTCTGTAGAATTCATAGTGACGCGGAACACATACTATGTTTTTAAATGAGGTATACCGAGCTAAGTGCTGCAAGGTATAGAAGGTTGTGGAGAGCCATGGTTACTCATGTCCTGAATGGACACGGCACGTAGAAGACAAAGAATAGTAACAAACCTTGTATGCTCGTGTGAACTCGAGAATGACGTCAGAAATCGGACTTTTCTAGAAACAGAGAAATTCTAAAAAAGGAAGACGCGGTCTAATTACAGAAGGGTGGTAATTAATATTTAATCACTTCATGGTTTTCAAAATGATGATCATTCGGAGTTGAAAAATGTTTTCACATCCGGGCCTTTGATGGTGTGGCAGGTTCAGGGGCGGGGGTATGTGAAATGTGGCAAGAGACGGGCGATGGTGCACGGGAAGAAGACAAGCGAAAGGAAGTGGATGGCGGTAGAATTGAATGAAAAAAGGATCTGAAAACAAATGATAAGATAGTCTTGACTGACGAAGAAGTGGAAAGGCTAAGCGAATAAAGAGAAGGAAAGAGAGAACGAAAGAACATCTCAACTGGCGAAGAAGAAGAAGAAGAAGAAGAAAAAGAAGAAGAAGAAGAAGAAGAAGAGAAAGAATAAAGGAAGATGGAATAAACGAAACGCAGGATAAGAAGAAAAGAAAAATATGAAAGAAAAACGCGACTGAAGAAAAGGAGAAAGAAAGGTGAATGAAAAATACGAGTTAAAGGAAAAAATGAGGCCTGAAAAGAAAGAAAGGAACGAAGGAAGAAAGAAAGTACAATAGAATACAATAGAAAGAAGGACTTCCAGAAAGAAAGAAAGAAAGAAAGAAAGAAAGAAAGAAAGAAAGAACGAAACAAAGAAAGAAAGATAGGATAGAATACAACAGAAAGAAAGAAGGAAGGAATGAAAGAAGGAAAAGAAAGAAAGAAAGGAAAGAAGAAAAGGAAGGAAGGAAGGAAGTACATTAGAATAGAATACAATAGAAAGAAAGACTTAAAGAAAGACTTAAAGAAAGAAAGAAAGAAAGAAGGGAAGTAAAGAAGGAAGGAAGAAAGAAAATACAATAGAATAAAATAGAAAGAAGGACTTACTGAAAGAAAGAATGAAAGAAAGAAAGACTTACACAAAGAAGGGAAGGAAAGAAAGAAAGAAAGAAAGAAGGAAATACAAGAGAATACAATAGAAAGAAAGAAAGAAAAAATAGAATACAAAAGAAAGAAAGAAAGAAAGGCTTACAGAAAGAAAGAAAGAAAGGAAAGAAGGGAAAGAAGGAAATACAATAGAATACAATAGAAAGAAAGACGTACGGAAAGAAAGAAAAAATAGAATACAAAAGAAAGAAAGGAAGAAAGAAAGAAAGAGACAAGTGAGGTGAGGTGATGGCAGAATTCATCGTGGTCGATCGCAGGTGGATGGCACGAGAGCTGAGCTGAGGTCACGGGAGAATTTATAGCGCTGCAGACCCCACACTATAGTTTTAAATGAAAATGAGGTAGACCGTGCTAACTGCTGCAAGGTATGGGATGTTGTGGAGAGCCATGATTACTCACGTCCTGAATGGATACGGCAGGTAGAATATGAAGAATAGTACGTAACAACCTTGTGTGATGGGCTGAAGTCGAGAATGGCGTCACAGCTCAGAGACGACAAACCATAGTTACACCGTACGATCGCTGAAGTTAAGCAACGTCGTGTCTGATCAGTACCTCGAAGGGTGACTGTTTGTATGATAGCTTAGGTCAATATCCTTTTAAAACACCGACTCCCATACAATCACCGAAATTAAGCAACGTCGATCCTGGTCAGTAAGCAGATGGGTGACTCCTTGAAAATATCAGGTGCGGTAAGCTTGGATGTGTTGGTGGTATAATGAGCTAAGGTCAGTATCATTTTGAAACACCGATTCCCGTACAGTCACCAAAGTTAAGCAACGTTGACCCTGTCAGTAACTGGATGGGTGACTGCATGTGAATAGCAGTCGGGTTCGTTGTATTTTCTTACGCACAAATATCCTTTGGAAAGGTATGATTCTACCTATTTGCTCCTCGAGCTATGGGTTAATGAGTAAAACTTGGATCACTCAATCATTATTTTATTCTCAAAAATTCATACAAACTAAAAAAAATATTTTCTGGCTTTAAATAACGCGCAATGGGTTGATAAGCTATACAAATATCAACCAATCAAATTATTAGTATCATTATTATTATTATTATTTAAATAAGAGCGCAATTTAATTAAAGAAATATTCCAACAGAATGTCTGTCTTCTACAGAAACTGTGGTGTTTGCCTTTGAATTTGTGATAGAATTAATTTTATTCATAGAAGAGGAAAACTCAAAGAGAAACATCACAATTTCTACAGAGGGTGAACATTCCAATTTCATATACACTGTCAAATGTACCAAACATGACTTGATATATGTGGGATTCACACCGAAAAATAAACAAAAGATTCAATGTACACATGAATGATGTCAGAAACAACAATATGACATCAGCAGAAGTTTCAGAACATTTTATTACAAACGACTGCAATTTCCATAAGCAAGGTGCACATCTCCCATTGTTACTTAGGAGGGGAGTTAAAAAAAGAAAACTAGGGTCGCCATAGTTACCCCGCTTTCGCTGAAATCTTTTAATTAGTATAAAACTTTTAATTAATAAAAATTGTATCACTAAGTCATTAATATATTCCCGGAAATTCATGCAAACTAAACAAATATGTTTCTGTCTTTAAATAACGTGCAATGGGTTGATAATCTATAAAACAGATCAACCAATAAATTATTATTATCATTATTAACATTTAGAGAAGAGCGCGATTTAATTCAACAATATTTCGACAATGTGTTTATCTACGTCAGGTAATGTGTAAAAACTGCATGGAAATATAAAAATAAAAAACATTATAAAATATTACAAGTATTTGAACAAATGTCATTTGTCTTGTAATGAAAAAAATATTGTAATTGTAATGAAGCCATCAAAACGAATTAAACGCCGCTAACGTAAACGGCATGCAACTGAATCATGAATAATATGATGGGAATAATACACATCTTGAAATTTTCCGTTAGTTGATTAGTTACTGAGTCGAATTAATCAAATAGTTTAGTATAAATCCCATTCAATATACGCCGGTCAATGTACCAAAAATGATTTGATTTATGTGGGTTGCACAACGGAAAAAATAAAAGATTCTATGGACACGGGTATTATGTCAGACACAACAATATGAGATCAACAGAGCTTGCAGAACATTTTATTACAAATGATTGTAATTTCGACAAGCATCTTAAGGTGCACAACAGGAAAAAATATTGAGACTCAATAATTAAGTATGCAAATTACTAACTCCCCGCCCCAGGGGAATGAACCGAATGACAGGAGAGTCCCATAAGATTGATACAAAGCTATTTGATTAATTCCTCTTAGTAACGGAAAATTTCAAAATGAACAAGATCCCTATCTTATTAAGCACGTTTCAGTTGCATACCTTCATGCTGGAGGCGTTTCATTCGTTTTGATGCCTTTATTACCAGGGCAGCCATTTTTTTTCATTGCAAGACAAGCAACGTTTGTACAAAGATTTATCATTCTTTGTAGATTTAGTTGTGGTTGGTGACTTCAGTTTGACTGGAAAAGATTCTGATAGACTCATTGAAGGAATTCCTGGTAGCCTCTGCCTTAAAGAAATACGAAAAAAAAAAAAGTTTTAAAATTATAGCTCACGCCTTAAGAAGGGCTTTATCTATGTAATGTATCTGTGGTCTTAGATTGTTTTATTTTTTTACCATAATTTCCAGTGGAAAATGTTATGATGCCATTTCTGAGCTTAGGTCTCTGGTTGGAACCCGGAAAGAAATGAGAAACGGAAACCAAAGGAAATAATAATAATAATAATAATAATAATAATAATAATAATAATTAGAGATGTGTGCTATTTTCGAAGAGAAAATGAAATGTAAACTAACTCCCCGCCCCAAGGGAAAGAAACGAATGACTTGAGAGTTCTATAAGATTTATACTAAGCTTTTTGATTAATTCCTCTTAATAACTCATTGAAGAGCAAAACTCAAAGAGAAATATCACAATTTCTACACAGGTGGGGAACAGTTGTATTGATTCCAATTTAAAATAAGCTATCTAGTGTACCAAACATGACTAGATACATGTGGGATGCCCAACTTAAAAAATAAAACAAAAGATTCAATATACACATGAATGATGTCATAAAAAACAATATGATATCAGCAGAAGTTGCAGAACATTTTATTACAAACGACTGCAATTTCCATAAGCATGTAAAGGTGCACATTTCCCGTTGTGATTAAGGGAGGGGGATCGAAAACTAGGGTCGCCATAGTTACCCTGATTTCGCTGAAATCTTTTAATTAGTATAAAAGTTTTAATTAATAAAACTTGTATCACTAAATCATTAATATATTCCCTAAAATTCATGCAAACTAAACAAATATTTTTCTGGCTTTAAATAACGTGCAATGGGTTGATAAGCTATAAAAATATCAACCAATCAAATATTATTATTATTATTAATAATAATAATAATAATAATATTTACAGAAGAGTGCGATTTAATTCAACAATATTTCAACAGAAGGTCTATCTTCCAGAAACTGCGATGTTTCCCTTTGAATTTGTGATAGAATTAACTTTATTCACAGAAGAGCAAAACTCAAAGAGAAACATCACAATTTCTACAGAGGGTGACAATTGTACTAATTCTCATTTAACATACGCCGTCAAATGTAACAAACATGACTTGATATATGTGGGATGCACACCGAAAAAATAAACAAAAGATACAATGTACACATGAATGATGTCAGAAACAACAATATGACATCAGCAGAAGTTTCAGAACATTTTATTACAAACGACTGCAATTTCCATAAGCATGTTAAGGTGCACATCTCCCAGTGTTACTTAGGAGGGGAGTTAATAAAAAGAAAACTAGGGTCACCATAGTTACCCCGCTTTTGCTGAAATCTTTTAATTAGCATAAAACCTTTAATTAATAAAACTTGTATCACTAAATGATTAATATATTCGCCAAAATTCATGCAAATTAAACAAATATTTTTCTGGTTTAAATAACGTGCAATGGGATGGTAATTTATGAAAACAGATCAACCAATCAATTATTGTTATTAACACTTACAGAAGAGCGCGATTTAATTCAACAATATTTCGACAATGTGTTTATCTTCGTCAGTTATAATAGGGCCATTATTATTATCATCATCATCATTCGATTTCTGCTATGGACACACTACCTACCAAGTCTGCGGAAAGACCTAAGGCAGGTCGTGGTGTGTTGTTATAATACATTTCATGTTAATTTTTTTTTTTTTTTTTTTATCTCCGATGAAGTTGCTAGCGTTACATAGACAAAGTTCTCCTTAGTGTGTGTGCTGTACTTAATAAGACAATTTTCTGTATGTCTCTTAAGCTGGGGTTTCAGGATTCTTTCAATGTGTTGTTTTGTTCCATTTTTATAATTCCAAGTGCACCTATTACCACTGGTATTATTCTTGTTTTCAATTTCCACATTTTTTCTATTTCTATTTCCAGGTCTTTGTATTTTGATAGTTTTCAAATTCCTTGGTTGCTATGTTACAATCCGCTGGACAAGCCATATCAATTAGTAGGCAAGTTTTTTCTTTCTGGTTTTTGACAATAATGTCCGGCCTATTTGCTTCAATTTTTCTGTCTGTGTGGATGGTATAATCCCATAGAATGGTGACATCTTCTATTTCTGTAACCGGCGCTGGCCGATGTTCATACCAGTGTTTGCTTACACATTTTCCAAAGTGTTTGCACATTGTCCAGTGTAAGTATTGCCCCACTCTATCGTGACGATTTTTATATTCATTTGGGGCAAGTATAGAACATCCTGAGATTAGATGGTCTATTGTTTCTTGGTATTTGTCACAGAACCTGCATTTTGGATCCACATTATTATGTATGATATTTGCCTGAAAATTCCTAGTGAAAAGACTCTGGTCTTGCGCTGCAAGAATAAAGCCTTCAGTTTCAGACTTTAATCCAGATGCTCGTAACCATCGATGAGTATTAACTTTATCAACATTGGGTTTATTTGGGGCCATTATTATTATTATTATTATTATTATTATTATTATTATTATTATTATTATTATTTCCTTGGTTTTCTGTTGTATACATATTTCCTTACGGGTCCCAACAAGAGATCTAAGGTTCACTCCTTTCTTCTCTTGAATCAGCAGCTAACTGTGCAGTTCTACACCTAAATGAAACTAAAACTAAGTGTATGCCAATTAATATTCGCCGCAATCATGAGATCAAAACACTCTCAGATAACATCGTCAAATGTGTCGAAGACTACAAGTATCTAGGATCACACATCAAGAACTCTGAGAAAGACTTCAACATTAGAAAAGGCATAGCATGGACTGCTTGTAACAAAATGGATAAGATCTGGAAATCCAATCTTGCTCGTCAATTCAAAATCCAACTTTTCCGCGTACTTATTGAGCCAATCTTACTCTATGGCTCTGAAACTTGGACTCTCTCAGCAAAACAACAGCTCCGTTTAGATGGATGTTATACACGTCTTTTAAGAAGAGTGCTTAATCTCTCATGGTGAAACCGCCCAACTCTAGAAATGATATATGGAGACTTGCCAAGAGTATCAACTTTAGTTTGCAAGAGACATGTCCATTTCGCCGGGCATTGTGCACGTGCCACAGATGAACTTGTGTCATCATTTGTACTCTGGAGGCACCCATCATCTGACAATCGATCACGCAAGTTAACCTTTCCAGATAGGATAAAATGTGACACATTGATCCCTAAGGAAGATCTTTTAGGTGCTATAACGGATAGGGAATACTGGAGAGGTGTAGTGAGTTCAATCTCGGCTGAGGCCGCAAGATGATGATGATGAAGGTTAGATATGGTTTCATGACATCTTCCGCTGAACATGTTTTTGTAAAAAAAATGCGAAAAAGACTAAGATTACACACATTATACATAGATAAATCTCTTCGTAATATGTGATTACAATTTTTTTTTTGTATTTCTTTAAGTCATGAGCTACCAGGAAACTCTCAGTGAGTCTACCGGGATCTTTTCCAATCGATCCGAGGCCTCTAACTACAATTGGAATTATTGATGTCCTCATGTGCCACACTCTTAGGATTTCCACTTCAAGGTCCTTGTATTATGATCGTTCTTTGAAAGCACATTCTCTTCTGGTGGTCTTTGATCCCAATGTCTGGGCGATTAGCTATGATTGTTCTGTCTGTGTGTATTGTAAAGTCCCATAAAATTGTCACAGGTTCTATCTCTGTAATCAATACAGGGTGTTGTTCAGACCAGTTTATTGAGGTTTCTTTTCTTCCTTTATTATTATTATTATTATTATTATTTCATTTCCTTTGATTTCTGGTGTGTACACATTTCTTTCCGAGTCCCGCCCAAGGACCTAAGGTTAGAAATGGCATCATGACATTTTACACTAATAAAAAAACATAAAAAAAATACATACATAAAGCCCTACGTAAGGTGTGGGCTGTAATTGTGAAAACAATTTTTTGTATTTCTTTAATGCATGGGCTTCCAGGAATCCCTTCAATTAGTATACTGGAAACTTTTCCAACCAATCCGAGGGCTCTAACGACAACAGGGATTGTTGATGTTCCCATATGCCACATTTTCGAGATTTCTATTTCAAGGTCCTTGTATTTTGACAGCTTTTTGAAGATCTCAAAGATACATTGCAGTCTGCAGGGACTGCCATATCAATAAGGAGGCACTTTTTTGTTTGTGGTCTTTAATAACAATATCTGGGCGGTTGACTTTGATTGTTCTGTCAGTGTGTATTGTGTAGTCCCATAGAATTGTAACAGGCCCTATCTCCGTAACCGGGTCTGGGTGGTGTTCATAGCAGTTTCTTTCAGTTTTCTTCCCGTAGAAGTTGCAAGTATTCCAATGAAGATTGGCTCAGTTTGTCATGCCGTGTTTTATATCCAGTGGGTGCAAATACCGTGCAATCTGATACAAAATGATCAGTTGTTTCTGGGTAATTATCACATAACCTGCATTTGGGGCCAACACAATATTTTAGTATGCATGCTTGATAATTTCTATTTAACAACCATTGCTCCTGTGCAGCAAGAATAAAACCTTCAGTTTCAGCTTTTAACCCTGTACTATGTAGCCGCTGATGGGTACGTGGTTTGTATACATCAACTTCTTTGGTACGGGCAGAGTATTGGCCATGAAGCGGTTTGTCTTGCCATTTTTTCTGCATCTATTCGGTTGCATTTGTCTTTGCTTTCTTTTTTATGTATTTTGCAGCTGCAGTCAGTGTATTGTGCTTTACTTGTATTTCTGCATCCAATTGAAACTCCATTTTGATCTTGTTTTAGACTCCATTTTGAACTTATTATTATTATTATTATTATTTTTATTTTCTTTGATTTCTGGCGTTTACACATTTCTTTCCGGGTCCCGCCCAGGGACCTATGGTTAGAAATGGCGTCATGACACTTTCCACTGACAGAAAAAAAAAAAAAAAATTACATAGATAAATCCCTTCGTAAGGTGTGGGCTGTACTTGTCAGAACAATTTTTTGTATCTCCTTGAGGCATGGACTTCCAGGAATCCCTTCAATTAGTCTACTGCAATCTTTTGCAACCAGTCGTAGGGCTCCAACTACAACAGGGATTGTTGATGTTCCCATATGCCACATTTTCGAGATTTCTATTTCAAGGTCCTTGTACTTTGACATCTTTTTGAATATCTTCAAAGATACATTGCAGGAGGCATCATTTTTGTTTGTGGTCTTTAATAACAATATCTGGCCGGTTGGCCTTGATTGTTCTGTCAGATTGTATTGTGTAGTCCCACAGAATTGTAACGGGTCTGGGTGGTGTTCAAACCAGTTTCTTTCAGTTTCCTTCCCGTAGAATTATTATTATTATTTCCTGTGATTTCTGGTGTATACTCATTTTTTCCAGGTCCCAACCACAAACGTATGGTCAGAAATTGCATCAGTACATTTCCAATGAGCACCTTTTTTAGAAAAATAAAGAAAAAAACATTTAAGATCACATATATTATAAACAGATAAAGCTAATGCGTGTCCTGCACTTGTGAGTAGAATTCTTTGTATTTCATTAACTCATGCGCTGTCAAGAATCCCTTCAATGAATCTATTGGAATCATTTCCAGTCAATCCGAGGGATCCAACTACAATAGGTATTGTTGATGTCTTCATATCCTTCATTTTTGAGATTTAGATCTGATTTCAAGGTCCTTGTATTTTGATAGTATTTTGAAAATCTTCAAAATGTACATTGCATTCTACAGGGACTGTAAAGTCAGTTAAGAATACACATTTTGTTTTTGCGATCTCTAATCAGGATGTCTGGATGATTAACTTTAATTGTTCTGTCTGTGTGTATTGTGTAGTCCCATAAAATAGTAACAGGTCCTATCTCCTTAACCGGGTCTGGGTGGTGTTCATACCAATTTCTTGCAGTTTCATTTCTGTAAAAGTTACATATTTTCCAGTGCAGATATTTGCCCACTCTACCATTCCGTGTTTTATTAAACGTGTGCAAATACTATGCAACCTGATACAAGATGGTAAATTCTTTCTGGATATTTATCACAGAATCTGCATTGTGGGCTAAAATAGTCTTTCACACTATATGTGCTTTTTAATTTGTGATTAGCAAGCACTGGTTCTGTGCAGCAAGGATAAAACCTTTGGTTTCAGCTTTTAGCCCTGTACTACATAGCCACTGATAGGTACGGGGTTTGTCTACATCAGCTTGTTTGGTACGGGAAGAGTATTGGCCGTAAACGGTTTATCTTACCATCGTTTCTATATCGAGTCGATTGAATTTTCCTTTCCTTTATTATTATTATTATTATTATTATTATTTCATTTCCTTTGATTTCTGGTATGTAAA